CTCACCTACACTGACTACCCAGCTCACCTGCGCTGACTCAGACCTCACGGTCACCACTGCGCACCCGGCCAGCTCACCCACACCTGCCGGCCGCGTCACCGGCTCTGACACACTCACCTCCCCCAGGGAGCCCCGCCCGCCCTTTGGGCTCACAGCTCACCGCTGCCCCCACAGGGCCCACGCAGGCCCCAGCACCATATTCTCCAATCTCTCTGAACCCTGCGATCTCAGGGCCTCTCCACGTCTCTTGAGGATTGCTATGGGTACTATGGACTCTATTTTGTATATCACTACCTACAGCACTCTAATCCAGAAAAGGTACTGAAGCATTTGTTCATCACTGATTTACCTCCACTAATTATTTTAATGAATACTTAATGAGATTCACAAATAAAATGATTTGAAGATCAGTGGGAGCGAGGTAGGAGGGCACACACCTACAATCCCAGTCCTTGGGGAGGCTGAGGCAGGATGGTGTAAGTCTGTGCCAAGCCTGGGCCACTTAGCAAGACTCGGTCTCAAAAATGAAAAATAAAAGGAATGGGAATGTGGCTCAGAATAAAATGTTCAATCCAGCCGGGCGTGGTGGCGCACGCCTGTAATCCCAGCACTCGGGAGGCTGAGGCAGGAGGATCCTTTCGAGTTCGAGCCCAGCCTGGGCTACAAAGTGAGCTCAAGGCCTGCCTGAACTGCATAGTGAGACCCTACACACATTAGTAACACACAACTGTGCTCAACTGCACAGCTGAGCATCTGGTCCACATGCGAGACTCACTTGGTAAGGACACTGCAGAAGAGAGGCACGTAGGGCTTCAGCTCCTCGGAAAGTGTGTTTAAGTTGGAAAAGGCCCGGAAGTACACCACACCGTTCGTGGGCTGGGCGCAGTACTGCACAGGGATTTCTCCGGCTAGAAAATCCAATGTGAGTCATTTTTAATCAATATTTAAGAAATAGTGCTAATGCTTTTCAAATGGAGATTTAAAACTTGACAGAAAAATACTATTCACTTGCTAGTTTATATAAACTTGCTGTTGTACTTTGATAAAAAAATGGAAACAATAACAACATTATCACTGCTTTTCAAAAAATGGGAATGAAAGAATAGTCACATTCTTCCAGCTTCATAACTGGTTCACCAGCGTTTCTGGTTGTAAACCCCCCTCTACCCAGCTCACCTGCGCTGACTCAGCCCTCACCTACACTGACTACCCAGCTCACCTGCGCTGACT